GACATGATCTGCTGGGCTATCATCAATTGATATATTGTTTCAGCGGCTTCAGAATGTTTCGCTGTAGTGTCATGAAAAATATGCTTGATGCAACGGGAAAACGACGTTTATGGTTTCTGAGGAATAGTAGCGAAGTTCATGAATGACCATCCTCATAGCCCACGCAAAGATAATTAAATGTCAGGCCAACAAAGCTTAGCTTCATTAGTAGGCATAGGTTAGCTTGATATCAGAGATTGAGGGCGGAAGAAGATGAAGGATGCATACACTGCAGAAGTCTTGGGTGGAGGATTAGCCCAGCCGCCATCGGTTTGAAAAGGACCTCCGCTTTGACCGGCACATCTTCCAGTGTCAGCCGACTGGCAGCTTGTGAAGTGAGATGTATTGTAACGTTTCAGATGTTCTGAAGCAGGACGATGAGCTGGAACTATCACTACCCGAGGGAGACAACTTCGAATCCATTCAGGATTTATCTGCTGACGATTACACATCATCTACCAAGTCTCGGGACTTCTTCGCTGTGATTGCCTATCTACCTTGTGAGTCACTGTTCCCTGAAGCGTACACGTAATCACGAGCACTTCAAACATTTCTGATCACCGCTCTTTCCTGTAAGCTGAGTATTTATTGTACTTAGTGATGTACCTAGTGTACTTCTTTCCTGAGTACTAAGTGTCCTGCTATGTGCTTCACGGGGTCGTTTCACATCTCTTTCACCGCATTCTACTCCATAGCCCGATGACCCGGGGCTCCCGGCGCATCCCATCTGACTAATGGTCCCGACAACGTCATCTCATCCGACTTGAAAAGTCGTCCCATCCGACTTGTGGTGCTGTCAAAGTTATTCCGTCCCAATAATGGTCCTGACGACGTCACCCCGTCCGACCATTGCCCTTACCACATTTGGTACATTGCGGTTGGCTTTTGAAAGTTCAAAAACCGATTGACTGCGCACATCAAACACCGAACGTCAAATCGTATGCCAAGAAGATAAGGGTCGTTCTGGCCGCCGGTGGTGAAGCATTCCATAATGCATCTACCTTTCCCCCCCCCCGCCCCCTCCCTGCGATCTTGCTAAATGAAACGCGCATGGAAACAGGTGCGTGCCAGTTGTAAATTAAATTCAGACCAGAGCCGCAGAGATGCTTCGTTGAAATTGTTGTTCCAATCGAAGATACCAAATCCTGGAAGATAATTACAGCAATTATATTTCATCGGGAAGTGATGTCTGCACAACGCGAATCGCGATGGTACAATTTCTTCAATTTCCAGTCCTCCTACACTAAATCTTTAAATCACAATGAGTGGTTATTGACAACGCAAAAGCAGTGGGCTCTTCGCTGCCTGTCCTTCGCATACGCGGCGAACAAAGCTGCCGCTGCGGATGGCCTTGCAGTGAGCCGCGATGGGCCTGTTCTGCAGGGGACCCGGCCAGTCGTGCGCTTCTGTGGGAGCTGGTGACGCTGCCGTCGCCGCTGCGCCGCCACCTCGGGCGGCTCAACTGCCTGGACTGGACGGACCTGTGCGACGAGCTGGGCGTACGGTCGCACCCGCAGCTCATCACCACCGCCGCCGGCCACGCCCGCCTCCACAGCACCAGTCCGACCCGGGCCCGCCTGCGGGAGCTGCTGTCCGTGTGAGCTTAGACGCTCGGCGGCGGCTGGTCGCGCGGCCTGTGCGCACGCCAGCCGCTGGCCGTCTCGGCGCTGGCTGGAGCTGCTGCACGCCGCGAGAGCACACAGCCAAAGCAGGTCACGCTCGATGTGCTGAGAGTCGTTGGCAGGAGGGAGTTTTGGCATGGCGGCCGCGGTCGGTGGTCGGCGGTCTTTTATTAAATCGACGAACGTATACCGAGAACGCGTGGGTTTGGAGAGTTTTGGCATCCGCGACATTTTCTTTATCACTCGCTGTTTTCACTGCAGAGGCCCGGCACCAGTGCCTTTGGTCGTGGAGGACACTCAGATCGAACTCTGGACGACCGGGCAAGTAACCGGATCACCACTAGATGGCACCAGCAGAGCTCTGGTGCTTCCCACCAGCTTGCGGCTACCACCCAACGCCTTGACTCGCCTGAGAGGCACGATTCTGGTTGCCTCGCTGGAAGACAGCCAAGTTTTTTCAAGGTGGGAAGCAACTCATTTTTCCGTCCTCCACTGCGTCATATATGTGATTCGCTGAACATAGTCTGTCAATGAGCCAACAGTAATCTACTGCGTCTGTCAGACCAAACGCGTGCCCATCCCGAATTGCGACGCAATGTGATCTTGGCATTCTAAGACCACCGCCACGCCTCACATTGCACATAACAGCGTATTTGACCGTTTTTATGGCTACGTGGCTCGCTGAAAACGTCATTTGACGTTAAATCTGTTCAGAGATTGGCTTACGACATCAACGGAGCTTTGAAGTTTGGTCTCGTCTCGCTTCCAGGTTTGGCAAGAACGCTGCACACTGTCTGAAGAGAAACGACCCTTTTCAACCGGCATTCGAAGTCGACTTGATCAAACTGGAGGAGTCGATAAGCCGATGCGAACCAGTACTGGTGAGCGGTTCATGTCCCATTCGCATCACATCCACAAACACCATCAGCATTCGGTCACAAAGTCCTCTCTTGGGAAATAGCACTAGTACGGAGTTTTTCGGCGTGGTATAAACGAGACGTTCACAGACGTGACATTTGCCAGGTGTCATCATGTGGATAATGCACAAAACTGAGCTAGTGCGGCCATACACCTTTGGTAGAGGACATCAATGGGTTTCCATCAGTGTGTTATTTTTCAGGAGTAGATCAATCGACTCACGCAGCATTCGCGCATCCATTCACAACTAACGTTGCTTCAAAATTTACAAGATATGGGACCAGTCAACCTTGACAATTTCCTGAACACCAATCGGTGGCGAGACGATTCATAGCTTGTCAATGTAATCCAAATCATCGTAAAAAACGCAAATATTTGGGGTGGACGCTGGTCACGGCACAACCATTCCCAGTTTAGGATATAGTGTCTTGTATTCGAGATGGGTTTCAAGGAGGGTAAAACCAGCCGCTCTCCGGTCCAATGTTGCCACACCTAAAAGCCGCGCCGTTTTGAGTTACGACGGGTCGCGCAGCCGAGTTACCGGTCGTCGAGAATCGGACCCAACTTCGGTCGGTGGTCCTCAGCTTTTCTGCAATTTGAAAATGTTTTCTGTTCCGTGTGTTTCGTGTATGTGTTTCCAGGCGTATTTGGATGCTAGTTGAGTGGGAAATGCTTAATTGTGGTGGCATTAAAGTTTTGCAGGAAACGCCGCTCTTGTCAACAAGTGCGCACGCAGAGAAGCAGGGCAAAATGTTGCGCCTGCAGAACGTGACATGCAGCGTATGCGCGCTTAAAATTCTCGCCAAATGAAGAGTTACACAGATCTGATATGGTGCGAAAAGATTAAACACGCCCGAACCTAATCCCGAAAAAAGACTTAAAGGAGGGTGACGGACAGAGTCAGACAGATACCGTGCTGTGTTTGGAAAATGAAAAGGACGTCGCTCCATCCTTCTGCAAAGGGCACACGATACATTCGATTCCCTTCACGTACAATTTTGGGTGACATACAGATAAGTTATGATTGCAAGGGCTGCAAGTTTCCTTAACTAGCTGTGTTCAAAATTTGCGAGTTGTAATAGCTACTTAAATAGGTATGTCTAGTATTACGGCCTGCCGGTTTTATTTCCAAGAGCGGAGTTGATAAGCTGTGTACGGAGACCGGTTTTAAATGCGTAAGTTCTGGTCTCGTGGGGTGATCTCGATGTCATTAATGACATCAGTAGTGAAGGAGAAGTTTCTAAAGTCTCACAGCATCGACGCCACCATTTCATATGTCGTAAGCAAACATGGTCATACATTGTAAGAGACATGTCCCCCTGCAGCCGTTCCTGTCAGTGATTTGCCAGCGGCAGCACCGCGCGCTATCAGATCAGCGCCGACGTTAGTGTGATCAGCGCCGACGTTAGTGTGATCAGCGCCGACGTTAGTGTGATCAGCGCAGAACTTTCACGGAGAGTCCATCGGCAGGGACTCGCTTGGGCAGTTCAGCTTTTCTAGTACATCCGCAGAGCCTCTTCTGGCTGCGTCGTTCAGGCGCGCCGCGCTTTCAGTCCCAACTGACGGAGGAAAACTTCGATCGTCTCCGACCGACGCAGTGGACATTCGTTCTGTTCTGTACGCCCCCGGCCTGTCCGCGACCGGACGTCACGGAAGCGCTGGTGCAAGCGGCCGGGCACGTGGCGCTCTCAGAAACCGACTTCTACTGGATGAACAGGTGGGAGGATGAACAGGTGCTCATGACTCAAGTCACGAGCTGCGCATCTCTGGCGGGCTGGTTTGGTGGGCATTTCCAGCTGTCCGTGCGTTGTGTAATGTGTTCCACGCCCTGTTGTATGGCGCCATCAATGTGATGTATATGTTCTACACGTCTGAGTCGCCGCATCTGTCAAAGTGCCCATGCTGGTGAAATGCCTTCGCTTTTCCCGCCCAATATTGGATGAATCACAATGACCTTAAGGTGGTGCTATCGGGTACTGCTTCGAATCTAACAGCCTTTTTCACGTCCCGCTGCGCTCTGCATAGGTCGCGGTGACGTCTTGTCAGATGGCTCGCTCTGTGCTCGGCTGCGCAGCATCATCAACGTAGCGCGAACAGGCGTACTTAATACCTTCTTCTGGAAACGATTTGAAGAAGTCAGTGATGACCAGGGAAGACCATACAAACGGAAAAGCACACCTCCGAAGCTGCACGCGAGCCATTTCGCCTGCTGCATCCTTCATCCTATCCCACACGGCGACAAGTCTCTACAATCAGTTTAGCGGCTGTCTTTTTGGCTGCAGCTCCGACCCGGTGGCCCGGCTGGCGCGGCAGCAGTACGAGGTCACCGCCGCGGTCGCCCTGGTGGCCGTCAACATGACCTCGGGTGAGGTGGTGCAGTTTTCGGGGCGGCCACAGCTGGACGAGCTGCAGCAGTGGGTGCCGCCGTCCGCGCCGGCCTCATCACCGGGAAAGGTCAGGACTGAGCCTCGCTCGGGTCAGCGAGAGCGCTGCACCGGGAGAGGAGAGGGCGTAACTTTGCGGTACGAAACGGCCGCTGGTGGTGAGTAGTTTCAGACATCAATTTACGGCAAGAACTCCCCTTCACGTCACAGGCTACCACGACAAATGTCCTCCTGCACAGATGTTGCAAGAGCCCACGCAAAAGCCATACGCATGAAAGGTCAACTCTGATATTAAAAATGACTTAATCATGCTCTTTTGTTTCCTTGGTTTTGACACTTCTATGAATCCGCGAGCTCATCAGGTGTTGGTGGGTACCACTTAAACGTCAATCACCCTGTCAGAAAACAGTGACGTCCAAGTAGACATCGGAGCTGATGGCACATTGTCATGTGATGTCCTGTGTTTCAAGTCCCGTCTGTTCTCCGGCTTTCAGTGCTTCTGAAGCCAGAGCAGTGGCATCCGGTGCTGCCACCTATCGACTTTGGTTCTCCGGCAGCGACTCTGGCTCCAGGGGGCGACGCTGCCGAGACGCTCGCTGGCTTTCAGGGTGCTTCCGATGGTGAGTGCTGCAGAACCTCCCGGCCGCGGAAGTCATGGCAGGCGTTGGTGTCGGTGGTGAGTGCTGCAGAGCCTGGCAGGCGTTGGTGTTGTGGTGAGTGCTGCAGAACCTGGTAGGCGTTGGTGTTGGTGGTGAGTGCTGCAGAACCTCCCGGCCGCGGAAGTCATGGCAGGCGTTGGTGTCGGTGGTGAGTGCTGCAGAACCTGGCAGGCGTTGGTGTTGGTGGTGAGTGCTGCAGAACCTGGCAGGCGTTGGTGTTGGTGATGAGTGGTGCAGAACCTGGCAGGCGTTGGTGTCGGTGGTGAGTGCTGCAGAGCCTGGCAGGCGTTGGTGTCGGTGGTGAGTGCTGCAGAGCCTGGCAGGAGTTGGTGTTGGTGATGAGTGGTGCAGAACCTGGCAGGCGTTGGTGTTGGTGGTGAGTGTTGCAGAACCTGGCGGGCGTTGGTGTTGGTGGTGAGTGTTGCAGAACCTGGCAGGCGTTGGTGTCGGTGGTGAGTGCTGCAGAGCCTGGCAGGCGTTGGTGTCGGTGGTGAGTGCTGCAGAGCCTGGCAGGAGTTGGTGTTGGTGGTGAGTGCTGCGGAGCCTGACAGACGTTGGTGTCGGTGGTGAGTGCTGCAGAGCCTGGCAGGCGTTGGTGTCGGTGGTGAATGCTTCAGAACCTGCCGGTCGCTGCAGTCATGGCAGGTGCCAGTGTCGACAGTGATGCGAAAATATGATTGAGCAATCTTTGCGGTACAATAGTCAGACATGACAACCCAAACCACCTATGCATGCACATGCTGGGTGCAAGGAAGGAACAGCAAATGTAGGATGACGCGCATGAAGAACGTGAAGTACACCACCATACGAGAATGACAATATGACTGAGGCACAGGCCAGCCAACTGATGTGTATAGTTCTGCGTTTGCTTTGTTTCATTAGCTCTTTAGAACAGCCTGCGGTTGAGATCACATGTTCTAAACGCATGCCATCTTCCTCAGGCTCTCACGGCCGCCGGGGGGAGCTGTAACGACGGCACATGTCCTCCGCGGCGTCGTGGTGCAGCAGCCTGCTGCTCCGGTCGGAGATCAGAACAGAACAGAGATCCGTGTACAGAGGTCTCCAGCATCCGAGTATGGCTTTCATGTGGCCGACAGTTTCCTCGGCAATGTGGATCTCCTCGGATTCTAATTAGACAGACAAGTATGTGTATTGCAATGTGCTCATGTGAAGATGTTTTCTTCGCAGGTTTGCGTCAATACATGAACGCACATACGTCTGCTAAATACTTATGTCCAATATATGCAGTCTGCCGGCTTTAGCTTGTCATTTCCACGGAAGAACCAAGTCTAACTCCGAATCCACCCGTCGACTGACTTCTATTCTAAACGTGTTCGTGCAACTCTTGATCAGTGTATTTTTAAGCATCTGGAAAAGACTCCGCTCGTACCTCTGGAATACTCGCCAGTTGGGGTTGCTTACCACGTTTGTCACGCTGGGGAATGTGGTAAATGTAGGTTTGCGTGTGGCTTAGTGTCGAATCGAATTCACATAACCATTGCAAATATCGTACACACTTACGTGACCCTCAGAACTAGAGGACTTCACGGGATGGGCAAAGCCATGGTACCCATGTGGGCGGTAGCGGGTACATCGGTAGATCGCTATACGACACATGGATAGATTTTGGGTACATTGCGGGCACGGGTATGGTACTGGTAAAACGTTTACAAAATATCAGATAGATACTTCAGGAAATACTGCACAATATTACTGGTTACGCTTCTTTTAGTTACGATTAGAGCAGACTCTCAGGGGCGAGGCAAGAATTTTTATTGTGGGGAGGCGGAACTGGATGAGAACGCATCACGCTGATTTTGAACTGTTATTTTCGGCTAGCTGCTATTTAACCGCTATTTTGTGATTATTTAACTCCTATTTTCCCACTGGGGCTATTTATGGCGAAAAAAGACAAATGCAGGCCTAGGGGCGACGCCTCCCGCGCCTTCCACCTGCCCACCTCCGCCTTTGACTGTGGCCTGTGTGTCACACCATGTTTGCAATCATTAGTGCGAGAGGATGGGTTTGGATGTAACAATTTCTGACAGCATTTTTTAATTCAGAGCTTAAGACCTCGGAAAATGTAAATGGGTGGGTCATGGGCAAATTTCACTGAATTGGAATGATCACGGGTGGATATGGGAACCGCGTCATGGCCGGTGGATCGACTGGGTAAAGGAAATAGAAGAAAGCAAAGGAAGTCGAAGGAAGCGTAGAAAGTGGAAGGAAGCAACGGAAGACCTCTAAGGCCTCAAATCCAAGCCATCATAAGTTGAGAGTTCTCACACTGACGGTGAGCAAACAAAGCTACGGCTTGGTGAAATGGCCTGAAAGCTAGTTGAAAATAGCATGCCCAGCGAATAAACTTTGCCAAGTGAGATATCTAAAATGGGTTGCAATCTAAAAATGCATATTAAGTCCAAAAGTCCAAATTTAGTTATCATTCCGAAAAGTCCAGCAATCGCCCTCAAACCATTATCTTAGGCCAAAAACACAAATATAATGTATCATGACGAGCACAACTGTAGTTTCCGAAGACGCACATTGAAAAACATAGCGTACGTTGCTGCATCCTTTGCATCCATGAGCACTTCAATGAGATTTATCTGCTGCTACATTAATAACGCCGTCTTGCTTCTGTTTGGCATGACATACAAGCATATAAATTCACTTTATGTGTTGGCGTCGAAAGAGACATCTATGACAGAGAGAGGCATTAATGCTGGTATCTATGGCAGCGTTAATTTTGTTCTCATTCCGCACATCGATGATCATAGCAAAGGTTTTTGGACATTTCTGGTTTCGAATTGCTGAAAGTTAGTGAAAGGAACCGATCCTACGGTACGGTCCTATCCTACTATCCTACTACTATCCTACGACAAAATTGTATGCATTGAATCGAGGATCCCACTCTTCAGTACCTCCTCCGAAATCTGAAATCAAGCGCGGGCTGGTTGTCCTAGCGTTGCGTTTGCTGCACATATCGCTCACGTTCTTCAAACACGCATCACAGATTATTACGTGCAGGGGTACAACGCGAACGAACCTGGTCCTTCCAAACTGTGACGTAAGCGGCTCACGCCATCCCGATTGGTTGAAGTCCAAGTTCATTGCCCTGAAGGCAGTATTTGTTTGAAGTGTTTAAGCCGTGCAGATTGACGCCGAAAGTGCAAAGTGGTTGTAGAACAGTCCATGGGTTTATTTCCCAGCCTGGCACTGAGCTGCATCTTTCCCGCGCTGCAACATGTAGTGTAACATTGCGTTCACCCTTGGTTCGCATGCGACCTTGCCGTTGATGCCCTACTTAATCTGCAGTCATTAATCTGTGTTAGGTACCAGCCGTGCAAGCAAATGCAGCGCACATAGTCTTGATTCTAATGACACCTGTCTTTTGTTTTTCGCGTCGTTAATATCAGCAGCCATAACTAAAAAATATTGATCACGCTGGCTAATGGCGAGCAAATCACCTTCTGAACGTCGTGACCAAGATTGTGCTGCTTGAACGGCCCGGCCAGACCAGTAGCCCCTTTTTCAGGCCAGCAGCGTGCTGTATTGTGTTTGTTACTCGCATCACTCGTCCCACCCCGCATCGCTGTCATTAACCCAGCCGTTCAGCCGCGCTTGATGCCCTGTGCCCTGTGGCTGCCGGCTCCTCAACCAGCAGCCTCTCACTACCCGCGAGCCCAGTCCTGCCTTCTTTGCCTGCGTTTCTTCCGCATGCTTATCCTAAATAATCCGCCTCCATGCCATGCATTGAATTATTACGACGGGCCGGTCGTCGCCTTGCGTGCTGGCTTGAACGCATGAATTGTAAACGTAAGGTTAGTATCTCCATCCAAATGATCAGATATTGGCGGAGAGAGCTTTATGTCTCCTTGATACACTTTGATCGTGATATGAATAAATTTTCCAAGGTATGGCTGTACCTAGATAGTTTGCATGCTCTGGATCCGGTCTTATGGATCCAACCGCGAGAAAGCCTCCAACTTGATCATCCCGGTTGAGCCGTCACCTGTTTCAAGAGTTCGCCTGTTGCAGCCACATAATCATAACTTTCTATAACAAGCCACTCAATGCTTAAAGGGAATGTGTCACAGTTGCATATATTGAGGCAAGCATCAGATATGATGAAACAAGGTCACTTATAACTATTGGTATACTTTGCAAGTAGAAAAGACTGCTCTAGGCAGCACAATTATTTGTTTTCATCGTACCTTGCGCAACATTGATTGAGAGCCATTTGACGGCCGTTATGACCAGAAATCGTGCTCACAAACGTCAGATATGAACGCCTCGGCAATTTATTTTTCTTGGCCTTGATCGCCACATGCCTTATGGAACGGCAGGATTTGAATGACGCAATTATGATGTCATGAATGCCAAGTTGACTTGAAATGCTCCTTCCGGAATACACTTCTCATTTTCTTGGGCGTGTAGCTCAGAAACTAGAGGGCTTAGGTCTTAAGAAAGGCTGGGTTGTGGATGGTTTTCAAGATGGTTTTCAAGATGGCCATTTTATCTCAAAATCCCAATAACGTGATACGCTCCTTTTGAACATTAGACTGCAATGCGTTTGCATACGGGCTTTTCAAAGCGTGACTTTTCTGGAGTATTGCAATGTTAACCAAATCCACCTTGAGAACATCTTAAGTAAAATCGCTTTATAGCCAAATAACGAAATTATCAGCACGATACACGGGAACCTGTTCGCTACTAACAAGTCGTATAACACGGATCTAAACCTGTGCCTGATCTCGAAAGCCCTGCATCGCAGCGACCTGAAAGCAGCACGGCTCGAAGAGAAGACAGCGGCCAATGATGCCGGCTAGGTGCGGGATGGTGTGTCCAGCCAGCCAGGCGCACTCGACATCACGCCATTGATGGGGCTTTTAACGTATTTAAATGAATGCCAGATTTTGACAACTGGAGCAAACATGTGAACCCAACTGAGCAGTGTAGGCAACTGTGCTGCATAGGGCTGTTGGACTCATGAACCCTCCATTGATCATGCTGGGAGCGGCCACCATCACGCTTTCGAAACCTCCAGCGTGTCTGGAAGCTTTTTACTCACCCGGCGCTGACCGGTTGGTGACCACCGGAGGCATATTTCGAGATTTTGGAGAAGGTTGGCTGAATCACCCACCCAAGAATTCATGAGACGATAGAATATAAACCTTTCTACTGGGTCATTTCGCAACAACACAACAACACACCGGCGCTGAGGCACCCCCCAGATCGACATCGTTTGTTGGAAGGTCAGCGTCATGATCCGAGGTCACCAGAAAACTTGGGCTCATCCGTCCGTCCGAGGGGGGCATGAAGCTGACCACGACATGCCGAGGGTCGGACCGGACGTCACGGACGAGGTTTTGGTCCGTTGCAACATGCTCATCAGCCACGAATGTTGAAATCCTTCGTCTTCGCCTTCAGATGGGAGAGTTTAACAAAGAAAGGAAGCAAAGGACAACCAGCCATGAATGGTTGGAGGGAAAGCCACAATCAATGCAAGCACATCTAAGTAGCACCTCAACTCGTCCAATGATATATACAGTATGCCTCCCCTCAGCCTCCTCTAAGAGGCATACTTTGGTGACAGGGCGCAGGGAAGTGCCTCCTCCCGCAGACCTCAACTCCACAGAACGAGCGACGCCGTCCGTACCCGGAAAAACTCTCACGACTCGAGCCAATGGCCAAAATCCTCGCGGGCATCTGATTCATCATCAGTACAACGTCCCCCACTCGAAGGTGTCTGATGTCATGGAGCGACTTCTGACGATGCATCAATGTAGGCACATATTCTCGTCTCCACCTCTTCCAAAAGTGGTTTGCCAGGACTTGGGCTTGACGCCAGCGGCGTCTGCTGTTGATCTCCTTGGGCTGGAAAACTCCTGGAGACTTGTTGACGCCGGCACATCCGAGCAGGAGGTGACCCAGCGTCAGCGACTCAGTATCAGTGGCGTCAGAGCTGACGCATGTGAGGGGTCGTCCGTTCGCCACGGACTGCACTTTTCTGTATGCTGTTGCTTTCTGTGGTTGGCGCAGCAGGCTCTTTTCCAGGGATCGAAGTCGGCTGATTGCCACTGAATTGTTGTTCGACAAGGTGACGCCGTCACTCTTTGATGAAAGTCTCGTCTC